GGTTAGTAATATCTGCTGAAACAATAAAATATTTTTAAAGTGGCATTACTTTCCATATTAACCTCGCCTAGTTAACTGGCCAGTCCAAAGCCCAGAAAAACAGGGAAGGCTATGTGTGAGGCTAGTAACCCTAACCCGAAAAATCAATCCAGTCACTAAGGCAACGTCAAAGCACAGAAAAACACATCATCTAGGAATCAGTAAATGTGTGTTTCGCTTTAGTTTGTGACTTATCATTAACGCTAATCATGAGTTGTACAATGAGATGGAATTGCAAGATTTCAAGACCTTTTTTCGGCGATAAGTCAGCAGATAAACAGAAGATTATCTTTCTTTTTGGTTATCTTCTCTCACGCACACATCACTGGCTATGTATTTACATACATATCATTTGAATAAAGCAAGAACGATAGTGGTTTGTGCAGAATAATATCGTAACATCATTGCTCATTTCGTCGGCTTCTCATCAGTTCATCTGCTTACAGTCTAAATAAATTATTATTATTATTATTAGGTTCATGTACAGAAACGTTTTAACATAATTGCCAGTTTTACATGATGTCAATTGACAGGAGGTTCTGTACTTAATGCACAATGCTCAGAGAATTACGCTAACATTGTTTTGCACAGGGAGTTTGAACAAGTTTAAACAGAGTAAATGTATGCATACAATGGTGGAGGAGTTAGGTGATAAAGACTGGAGTTGCGTAAGATGATGAGTGACTAATAACCTGGGTGACAATGTACTGGGTTCAACTGAAATCATCGAAACAAGAGACAAGTGAAATTACCCTGCATCAAACGGGGTTGAGAATAAAGCCAGTGACTGCGTAATCAAATGAAACAAAGAATAAGGAAATCCAGTCACCAGGGCAAGGAAAGACTGATGACTGTTTCTTTCTGAACACGTTAATTGGGTTTCAGGTTTTCGATACAGATTGCTTCCTCTTGTAAGTAGACTGTTAGTGATACTGACGGCCAACATCGTTGTTTTTTACGCCTAAAAAGCAGGTGGTTAGAAACAGCTAGATGACGTAAAATGTTGTTGGCATAAGCAAACGGTGTTCGTAATCAAAGCGTCTGTGTCGAGCTCAATATGCTCAAATCTGAAGGAAGCAACCTCCGTCACCTACCCACATAGCTGGGAAGCATCCTTCCAACTACAGGCAGGCAGAACTGAGGAGTATATCAAAGCGAGGATTGGGAAAGCAAGGAAACATTCCATTTCTCTCCTCAAGTCTGTGTGGAGGAGATCAACAGCACAACTCAGCATGAAAATGAAAATAAGATCCGGATTTTCAACTCCAATGTCAAGTCAGTACTACTCACCATACGGATCAGAGACTTAGCCGGCGTCAAAAAGACCACCTCAAACAAACTATAGACCTTCATCAACAGCTGTATTCGCTCCATACTCAAGATCAAATGGCCGGCCAGGAAATAGCAGCAGTAGTGTGAGAGATCTCTGGCAATGAACCAACCAACCAACCCAGTAGGAACTGACTGTGCAAGAAATATGCAGGAAGAAATGGAGGTGGATTGGCCATACACTCTGAGAAAACAAACCATCAAGTGAGTGATATCACTCACAATGCAGACCATCACTCAAGTGGAACCCGAATGTGAAGTGGAGAGTTAGTTGTTCGTCAGTTCGAGGGTGACATGTAGGATGAGGAGGTGATGTGCATAGGAGATGGGAGCATGTGGGTGGCAGATCTGGAGCCAGGTGAAAACGTTGGTGGAGAACCAAGCGGAATGGAGACGTGTGGCTGAAGCTTTATGTTCCTCTAGGAATTAAAGGAAATAATAATAATATAATAATAGAAACAGCACTCACTGAACGGATAATCTTAAAATATCGGATAGTAACAACGAAAGTTTGAAACTTCCACCCTATACTGGATAAAGCCTAGAAAAGTCAAGTTACAAGTTGTGTGTGTGTGTAAGGTAGCGTAGGATGTTCGCCAACCATGCACATGTTTCTGGGTATGATTCCCAACCGAAATACTTCTAAACGACACATAGTAATTAATCAGGAAAATTTCTAAATTCCTATTTGCGTATTTAGAAAAAACAACAGACTGAGCGAAGAAATATATTCCTTTTCAATTAATTCAACTAATTAATTTTCGACTCCACACTGATATGTAGTTTTTTACATCAAAATTTTTTACCAGTCAAGTGGTTATTTTAGTCAATCAGTCTTACGTATAGGTGGCGCGGATGAATTTAAGAGGTTAAAGGTCATCAAAACAAACAAATAATAGACGTTAGCAACAAGATATTCAAGTTTTAAAGGAGAGGTGAAAATTAGTAAACAAAATTCAAGATAACTTGATTCTTTGGCGTTGGCAACAAGTTATTACATTATCAAGAAATTTGTAAAATAACAATAATAATGACTAAGAAGAAAGAATAGGATTACGTAAAATACAAACAAGTTAATAGAATTAGCTAGAATTGTAAAAATTGAAAAAATTGACAAAGTCAAAATATAGTTACAAGGAGAAGGTAAAAATCGTTTTAAAAAACTTAATACATAAAATGTAGTTGGCCATGGCAAAGAAAAGGGCTGTACAAATTTCTTTTGAACTGAAACACAAATTTGGCTTGTTCAAATGAACTACGATTGCCTCTTCAGTATGTAAAAGTCGTACTGCGAGAGGTTGGGTGATATACGATAAATAACTTTAAACGCTTTGTTAGAGTCGATTTGATGTCCAGTATTGACGATATACAATAGTAATGATAACACTAATGAACTATGATAAACGCTACATCAGTCAAAGTGGTCGTCCCCATTGCATCAGAGTCCAAGAACATAAATCGTTTGTGAAAGGACATGATACATATTCGTTCACATCGATGCGCGGAGATAATTACGGACATCAATTTGATTGGGAGAAAGTGAAAATTTTAAACAGAGAAAACACCAAAAGAAGGCAGTCAGGGGATTTCTAGAAGTCTGGTACTCAAGTGAATCAGCAATTAACAAACACATTACTATAGATGGAATTCGCCAACGAATAAAAAATAAATCACATGAAAAGAAAGTTGAAATCCTAAGTCAATAAAAATGATCAATAGAGGCGTAAATTTTGATTGGACAGTAGTTGGTAACTAGTGTAGTGTGTCTAGTCATTTTTTTATGAAGACTGAATTATGTCAGCCACGTTTGCAGTGTGGCCACCATTCTAGGTGCACTTTAAACTGTTCATATCAGATGGTTTCGCGTTAGTTGGCACTCACCAGTCAGCATGGTGTACCTGCAAACTTCAAGAAACTCGTGTCTTTTCTGATATTCGAACTCAAGTCACGGCGGTCACAGACATGAGTTCCTTCATAAAACAGCGCAGTCCTACAGGGGGTCAATCGTGAGCCTGAATAGCTTAATGGTAACCTGTCTGACTACAGTACTTAGTGAGGCGGGTTCGAATCTCAGAAGGGAGATCGGTTCCTTCAAGCTGATTGCAGATAAGCCTTGCTGACTGATGAGTGCTAGCTAGCACGAAACCTAGGGTGGTGACTGTCTCCAACCATCTAATAACAACACTGGAAGGGGTTAGATTCTATGATGAACATCTTAAAACGTACTGTGATTTATGCAATTACAGTTCATTAAAGATGCTTAAATTATAATAATAATTATTATAATAGTAATAATAATAAAGACATAGTAGCGAATAGAATATCAACTAAAATTAGGGAAATTTCACAAAAATTCTGGATTATTCAAACCTGGATGGCCAAGGTAATGATAATGTCTGAACTAACTTCTTTTGGATGCATAAATTAGGCTTATTAATATGAATCCCCACAGCCTCAGCAATATTTAGTAGTCGAATTCTTAAGGCAAAATTGAGATTCGTTGGTGTGCGATAAATCACCCTGAAAGCATGGTTAACGTCAATCTTGTGTTCTGTATCCACAAGGTGAGATAGAATAGCGCTGCGAATAGACTTTGTTTGTCCTTTGCTTAACCACTATGCAGGGTGATGTTCGGAAATTCGACGAGAAACACGCCTAATTGTACGGCCTACGTAACTGGCTCACTCCACAGGAGCAGTTAAATTGGTAGATACACAGGGAGTAGGAGGCGAAATTAGGCAGTTTGTCTTTTATTACCAAACGCAGAAAAGGAGTGGCTTTAAAGATATTTCGTAATTCAGCAGCAGGGAATGCTCTTTTTACCGCATTTCTAAGGCGTTGTGTTAGTATCTCACTGGTGTTGTCTCCTAGGAACTGCGTCTGTAAGAACAAGGCTTTCTTTGGAACTGTTGGTAACTTTGGCTGCTTTGGTTTCAGATTCAGATTCTTATCAATAAACTTTTCAGGATAACCATTTTCATTTAGCAACTGTTTAATATTATTAAGTTCTTCCTCAAGACATTCGTCTGAGGAAATTGCTTTTGATCTATGAACCAAGCACTTTATCAGATTGCGTTTGTATTTCAAGGGCACAAAGCTGAGAAAATGTGTATACTGACCCGTTGATGTAGGTTTTCTATAAACACTTCTTCTTATTGTGCCGTCCTCATTTCTGGTCATAAGGACGTCTAAAAATGAAATACTAGAGTCTTTTTCTTTCTCAATAGTAAAATTTATTGCAGGATGAACTTCGTTAAATTTATCCAGGATGTTCTTTGCCTCCTCCTCATTTTTCATAATCAAAAATGTGTCATCCATGTAACGACAATAGAATTCAAGTTCATTAATAACATCCTTCAAAGGCCCATTTTCTAGTTTCGCAAGAAAAATGTCGGCTGGAATGGGTCCTACTGGTGACCGCATTGCCACACCGTCGATTTGTCTATACAGTTCCTTATTAAATAAAAAGTGGACTGTGATTTACACAACTAACAGTAAAAACAATCGTTTGCCTAAAATGAGAAGTGAACTGAATGTTTATTGATAAACTAAATATCTGAACGAATTACAACCTTTACTTGTTCTCTGTTAATTGAATACTAAATATTTAATGTACAGTTTATTTCTTTCAGTTACAGCATCCTTGGTATCTGAAACCACCATTGCGATTTGCCACTATTCCAAGTGGAGCTACTGAAGAGAATATAAAAATCAATTTTCCAGAAATGCATAGGTATATGAGCAAGTTTAATAAGTCCACTGTTGAAGAAGGTCTGAAAGCAACGAAATCAGGGTAGGTTTATTTATTTATAACAGAGTTAAAATGAATATCTACCATAAGGTAGTTTATTTTTCAATTAACGTTCTTAAATATTAGACAAATTTAAGAAAATGGCTTAATAATTTATCGATATTCAGAGTTAAGCATAAAGTTATTAAAGGCTAGGAAAGCAAAAGGACCAGACACAATCCTGCAGAAGTGCTAAAAGCGGACCTGGAGACTTCCGACCACAAGGTTACGCCACTGCTGTAGATGTAGAAGAAAGGAAAGACAACTGACGACTGCAATAAACGCTAGCTTGTCAAACTGCCAAAGATCAGCGACTTAAACTTATGCAACAATGACTGAGTCAGGATGCTCCTGGTGTCCACTCCAAGCAAACTATTAAGCTGCACTGTCTTAGTGAAGCATTTGAAATGAAGACAAAAGTAAAGCAATACTGCCTACTATCACCAATTATCTTCTTAATTGTGGCGGACTGAATAATGGGGAGCGGTAAAAAGGCCATATGCTGGACTAACAAAAAGACCCTAACTTATCTGAACTTCGAGGATGATTTATGCCTCGTGCCTCACAAAGTTGAATACATTCAAGTGAAAACCAACAAGTTGGCAAAAGAGACAGCAATGACAGGGTTTTATGTGGAAAAACAGAAGACGAAAGTCATGCAGATACGCAACCGACAAACAATGAAAACTATGAATCGGAGAAATCTGAAGGAGGACGACTCCTTCACTTACCTTGAAAGCATTGATCATTTTAACTGCAGGTAGAACGGATGAACATGTCAAAGGCGGTCAACCAGGATCAGATCGAGAAGCAAGATAGGTTTTCACTCTTCCACCAGTATTCAGAGAACTCAGTACAGTGGAAGTGTGCCTCTGAAGCCCTATGATCCACTTGGAACTCAGGTGGTGAATAATAATATAGATGACACAATGAGAAGACGTCTTCTTAATGTATTTTCGAAATTCATAAGGGGAACTAATTGCTTTAGACGAATATTAGTAATAATAATAATGATATTGTCATTAGTCCCTTCAACAGCACTTCTCCAGTTTCTCCTACTCTCCTTAGTTCACTTCAGCTGGCCCAACGATCTCCCTTAGGCTCTCATCACCTTCAAGTTGTCTCCAGACTCGCAGCCCGTCATTCCCCATTCGGCTTCCACTCCGGTGATGGCCTGGAGCATGATTTCACTCAGCAGTCTTAGCATCGTGTGTCCTATCCATCTCCATTCTCTTCTCTATATTGGTCGTGCAATAGGTTCTTGGTTAGTTCGTTTAATGTACACACACAAGGAATATAGTAAATAGGTGTAGAATGAGACAGATTCCATAAGGTTAAAAGCGATTTTCTTATTCCGGACTTCTAGTTCACGTCTTAATCTCTTTTGGAAGTTAATTTGACATAGAAAATATTTTGTTTATTAACGTTATTTGTAGTGTGGCGTGTGACATATACATATTGAAAACATTTTAAGGCAATGGCTGCAGAAGTGTATAATCCTCAAATCTGGATTTAGTTTACGTTGTAGTCAGGAAATAATTTCACTGAACAGCTTTTCTTAATTTTGTTTAATCTTGGGCAATCACCAATCAATCAGGCGAGTTCATTGTCTACTGACCTAGCCGACTTTTAATATGGTTTAAAAATCGTACAGATATGATGTGTGTGTGCTTGTGTTTTTCTTGATAAAAAGGTCTGTTATCAATTCTCTTATTTTATGCCGTTACAATAATACACTTTAATCAGGTTCTGTTACATGCTGGTAACATTATTCTCTCTCTCTCCCTTTTTTTAAATGAAAAACTGAATCAGGCAACTTGACGCCTTTTTATACGATGCAAATGTGCTAGACTATTGGGCAATGAAAGATGAAGGCTGTAAACTACGTACAGTTGGAAATTTATACGCAATGACCGGCTATGGCATAGGCTTTTCCAAAAGTAGCCGATGGTTAACTAAAATTAATTCACGGATATTGGATTATCAAAAAAACGGTAAATTTATCAGTTTTCTTTCCCTCATTCCCTTTTTTTTATTAGTATTAATTTGTTTACACTAATATTGCACACAAGACAATGATTAAAGTGGAACACAACTACATTTTTTTCCTGACGAAGTTAGGCTTCAAGCAGTGGAAAGCGGAGACGAACCAGTGGTTCTGAATGCACCAATTATATGGAAAAGGCGAGTAAAAAGACGTGAAACCGTTACAGAGGATACCTTTCTCTGACACTTGGCAAAAATGCCTCTAAGTTTTGTATTGGAGTGTTATTAGGGTAACTAAACCCCATTCTTTATATTAGCTGGTTGGAGTCAATCAGCAGGAAGCCCAGCTGGACCTGGATTTCGTGCTTGTTGACACTCACTAGTCAGCGAGCTGTATCTGCAAACTTCAAAGAATTTATGTTCCTTCTCATGTTCGAACCCGCATCACCCAGTGCTACCAGAAACCAGAGATGTGACCCCTGATCTATTCGGGCTCACTACTGACCTGTAGGACTGTGTTGGACACTAGCCAGTAACCAGCGTAATGCGTCTAGTCGTTTGTTTGCGGCAGACTGAATTCTATCAGAGTGCACCGTGATGGAGAGCCACTTTGCAAACATGACTGAACGAAGTTAGTGTGCACCAAACAAAGGACTAAATACACTACACTTACTAGTGTTCAGTCAAGGTAAACCACATTTTATACGTTTATTCATCTAGGTCTTCTGACCCAAATTTTTCTTTAACCAAAGCCCTACACGAAACTATCTCTGAACTAACCCTTATCATAACTCGAACTAACCGTTATATCTTCCCTGTTAGCTTATCTTAACCCTAATTAGGATTAACCTGTCCTTAAACTTTCCAAAGCCTTATTTAACAGGTTTCCCCAGCTTGCTTATTGAGTGTTCTAAGGTCACTGATGCGTTCACACTCCTTCGGTACTTAAAGTTTACGTTTACCAGTTGTTGTCTTTTTTTCAATTAACAGAAAGTCACTGGTACTAGGTATTGCAAAAGATACTCCTTTTCTCTCCTTGAGTAAAACAGTAATATAAATACTGAACACAGCCAATCGTTATGTATGCATAAATACATGGCTGGCATGTTCGAACAGCTCATTCTCAGGTTCATGAATAATTCCCATTTACACATTATTGCTAACCAAAACACGTAGTACAGCTAAGAGTCACTTTTCAGCGAATTCATCCAATTATCTGTACAATCACAATTATATATAATTTTTCATGTATGTGTGTGTACATTACCATTACGAGACAAGAATAAAAACTAGTTAGGGCTGCTGTTTACGTCATCAAAATACTTGAAAAAATGGGATGAACAATCGAATTGTAATAACGCGGTGGAGATTAGTATGAAGCTAGTGGCGATTTGTACTCAAGGGGTTCCATCCCCGGCCGACTCACTCCCAAACCTGGCTTGCCTGGTAATAAACCAGACAAAGAGGGGAGATCGGGTGTAAGACTATCAGCCTCCCCACTGTAAAACCAAACATCATTGCTACCGGCACTTCAAGCGTCTAGCTTGAAGCCCAGTGTTCCACTGGTAACGCAAAGGAATAAAAATTAAAAATAACAAAATAGTGGTGATGAGTCATCACAAATATAGTCGCCAATGTTAGTCGGTACATAAGAGAAGTTGAATAAGTGTATTGTAATTGCGTAATAAGGCGAGTTGTAATCAGGATGCACATTGGAACGAAGTTATGTTAGAATTCTAAAGATATACAACAGATATAAGGCGTTGGAAAGACAAGTAAACAAAATCCAAGTCGGTAGAAATCAACAAGGTTATTAACATCATAGTAGGAGTGGTTGAATAGTTTTCTCTAGTTTTTCCAACTGAACGGCTAAGGCTCGAACAGAGCAAAGAAGACGAAGGCGTATTGTCTTTACCTGGTTATTTCTCACGCCATGAGATTACTCTTAAGGAGGCGTTTGTTCAGATAGAATGGTTAGTGTTGAAAATGTGTTCGATTATCGTACTCCTTATGAGCCACCATTACCTTTTTGCAGGCATGCAGGATAGTGTTCTCAGATCCTTTTGGATAGAATACGCATCGAACGATCAATGTACGTGGCTCCACAGCAACGAGTGAATTGGCATATGCACATAGAAATGGCCAGTTGCAAATGTTGTCCTTAAGGCTTCTGAAGACCAATGGGCGATTGGAGAACACTACTCTTAGCGTTGCTGTGGAGAATATTCTTCTCAAAGATTCGGATTGTTTTTTTATCCTTTTACGTTCCCCGTGGAACACAGGGCTTCAAGCTAGACACTTGAATTTTCAGTAGCAGTGGTGTTTATTTTTAAGGGATGGGATAGCTAACCTCATGCCCGACCTTCCCTCTTTATCTTTCTCGTTACTAGCCTAGCTAGGTGTGTGTGAGTGCGTCGGTGGCCGGGGATCGAACCCCGAACCACATGAGGCATGGCTGGCGAGCATCCTACTGCTGTGCCATCGGCACTAAATTAAAATTAACAAACTAAAATCCACTAACTGTCAACTTTCAATGTTTTGCAGAATAAACCTAGCCGAGTTTCCTAAAATCTCTTTGGAATATCATGTTAAAATGAAAATATATAACACATACAAGTATTTCGTTTTCATTCACATTCTTCCAGAATGGCAGCTACATCGTTTCTTGTCAGATAGGTAATATATACTCACTTAATACTTACTTTGACCTTGAAATATACACAGAAACATTGTTTATCTCTAGGTACTTCATAGGTTTCACTCCGATATGTTTAAATTTTCCCAACCTTTTCCGCCAACACAATGAACTTTAATGCCTTGATCTTCCTTTCCTAGTGGTGACATAAATGTAGTTTGATTAAAAAACCATTTTCAGACTCATAGTGCAGACTATGATCTGGATGGTAACTGGGTAGTTCACTATCATCTAGAAACATTATAGGTGGAATGCGACACCTATTTGTGACCAAGGAAAAAACTATAACTGCAGACAATAAAATACAACTAATGATGTTATTACAACTACAAATGATCTTAGCTCAGAAAGCCAAGGAGCGAAGTGTGCGTCGGTGGCACAGCGGTTAGGACGCTCGTGGACCATGCACATGGTCCGGGGTTCCATCCCCGGCCGACTCACTCCTTTACCTCGCTAAACCAGAAATAATGCTGGTAAAGAGGAAAGGTTTGGCATGAGGCTAGCTAGCAACCCCATCCTGTAAAATTGAACACTGCTACAGAAACTTCAAGCCACTAGCTTGAGACCCTATGTTCCACTGGGAACGTGAAGGAAAAAAAAACAGGAATGAGGATGCCTGGTTAGCACCAACAGCAACAACAACAACAGACAACAATCAGCCAGCATAAATCGGAGGAACCTGAAGGAAACAACCTCCTTTACCTACCTGGGAAGCATCGTTTCAACTACAGGCAGACGGAACTGATGGGAATACCAAAGCGAGGGTCAGGAAAGTAAGGCAAGCTTTCATTTCTGTCGAGTCTGTGTAGAGTTCAGTAGCACTCAGCATCAAAAATAAGGTCCTGATTTTCACCTCCAGTGTGAAGTCAGTGCTACTTACTATACGAATCAGAGACTTGCACTGCATGTCATAAAGAGCATCTCAAACAAACTACAGACCTTCATTAACAGTTGTCTTCGCTCAATACTCAAGATCAGATGACGGGCCAGAAAAGATCAGCAACAGGGAGGGATATCTGAGAGCGAACCAACCAGGAACCGATCGTGCAACAAATAGGCAGGAAGAAATGGAGGTGGATTGGCCATACTCTGAGGAAACCACCAAGTAGCATCACAGCCCATCACTCCAGTGGAACCCGAAAGAGAAGCGGCGAGTCGGTCTTCAGTGCAAGGGTGACACGGAGGGGGAGGTCATGTGAAGAGGAGGTGAAAGCATGTGGATGGCAGATCTGGAGCCAGGTGAAAACTTCAGCAGAGAATAGAACACAATGGAGACGTGTGGCTGAAGCTCTATATTCCTCTAGGAATTAAAGCAAATAGTAATAATATAATAATAGAAACAGCACTTACTAAACAGAGAATCGTAAAATAACGGATAGTAACAACGAAAGTTTGAAACTGCCACCCTATACTGGATAAAGCCTAGAAAAGTCAAGTTACAAATTGTGTGTGTGTGTGTGTAAGGTAGCGTAGGATGTTCGCCAACCATGCACGTGTTTCTGGGTATGATTCCCAACCGAAATATTTCTAAACGACACATAGTAATTAATCAGGAAAATTTCTAAATTCCTATTTACGTATTTAGAAAAAACAACAGACTGAGCGAAGAAATATACATTCCTTTTCAATTAATTCAATTAATTAATTTTCAACTCCACACTGATATGTAGTTTTTTACATCAAAATTTTTTACCAGTCAAGTGGTTATTTTAGTCAGTCAGTCTTACGAATAGGTGGCGCGGATGAATTTAAGAGGTTAAAGGTCATCAAAACAAACAAATAATAGACGTTAGCAACAAGATATTCAAGTTTTAAAGGAGAGGTGAAAATCAATTAACAAAATTCAAGATAACTTGATTCTTTGGCGTTGGCAACAAGTTATTACATTATCAAGAAATTTGTAAAATAACAATAATGACTAAGAAGAAAGAATAGGATTACGTAAAATACAAACAAGTTAATAGAATTAGCTAGAATTGTAAAAATTGAGAAAATTGACAAAGTCAAAAGATAGTTACAAGGAGAAGGTAAAAATCGTTTCAAAAAAACTTAATACATATAATGTAGTTGGCCATGGCAAAGAAAAGGGCTGTACAAATTTCTTTTGAACTGACACACAGATTTGGCTTGTTCAGATGAATTACGATTGCCTCTTCTGTATGTAAAAGTCGTACTGCGAGAGGTTGGGTGATAAACGATAAATAACTTTAAACGCTTTGTTAGAGTCGATTTGATGTCCAGTATTGACGAGATGAGCTAGTATTGAGCTGCGTATAGCTTTGTTCGAACTTTTGACAAACCAAGATGGGAAGTGTTAAGAAATTCGACGATGCACCTGCCTGATCGTACGCCCTATGTAACCAGCTTCGCACTAGCAGGAAAAGAGAGAAGGCTGTGTGTGAGGTTAGCAAAATATAACACCACCTCTACTGAAACTTTGAAGCTTGAAGCCCCATACTCCACTCAGAACATAAATGAATGAAAAAGAAAGTCAGGAGTTATTGAAAAAACGTTAACATATAAATCCAAGTTTTGGTTTGCAGGGATTTGGTTTTTTACAGGGTCTCATCATGAACTTACATCAATTGGAGAACTACTGGAAAACCTGGAAGTACTCGGTGGATTTTTCGGCCTAATTCGAGACTCTTTATCAGCACACACCCATAGGAGTTCCAATCCAGGACTTTCCAGTTACGAGACAACCAGTGGGGTACAGTAGGTCGGGTGTGAGTACAAATACTCGTCGATGACATTGGCCAGTACCAGTCGCGCTATGTTGTGAATTGGCAGGAGTTGGAATTCATGAGCTGGCCATTAGATCTGGTCCTAATGGCTGAATGGTCTACGAACTCGTCTTGTTGCAGGAAAGCCCTGGGTTCGAACCCATGCAGTGGGTGTGCGCCGATGAAGAGTCTCAAACTAGGTGGACAAAACAGCTGCTCAGTGCTCCCTACTGGTTTTCAATGATTCCCTAACCAACGTCAGCTCATGATGAAATCCTGTAGACCTAGAGATATTCATCCACTGTAGGATGTGCAGATTTTCCCCGAGAAACGGAAGAAATCATTCAACTGCATGTTATTACTATTTCTGTTGAACTGACATTTCTCTTTACAGGTAAATTACAACGGTGGAAAAAGTTTTGGCTAACAGGTTCATGCAAGAAAGATGCTGCTGTTGGAAATGCTAACAAAACACTGGGAGTTAAAAATTTCATTAGTGCTTTCATACTACTTGTTTGTGGAATGCTTATTTGCACTGTATTCTTGTTACTTGAGTACGCTGTCTATTGGTATGCCAAACCGAAATTGAAAAAGCTAAATCAATACGGATGTTTTGGTCGAATCGCTTCGGTAAGTTAGAAGAGGAAATGAAGAAATACACCTGTCTCCAAGTATAATAAGCTGATAAATGACTAAACAAAAAAAGAAGAAATAACCTTCTTATAAACTTTACAAGTGCTTAATAACAGACGGTTAAACGTTTTACTTTTTCTTAATTTTTATTTTACCTAGATTCAGCACAATATTTTGGTACAAGTATGGAATTTTCAGCATGTGATATCGGTAGCCCAAATTCAGCAGACCTATCATTGAAATCAAGTGTGTGTCGGCCGGGGATCGAACCCCAGACCATGTGCATGGTCGGCGACCTTCCTAACCCCTGTGTCACCGACGGACTTCAATGAATTAACAATAAACTCGCATAGATTCAAATCACTATACAGAAAAATGAGCAGTATCCCTGCTACTAAAACTGATTAGACAAGGAGGGTGTGGATGTGATTTATGAAGTAGGCATTAGAAATTCCAGCAGTCAGTATCGAGTTCATGCGGCGTTCCATCTGGACAGCTGGGTATTACAAAAGGCCACCGTAGTCGACTCTAAAAAATTTACAGTACGTGGCCCAGTTGATTTACTATTATCACCAGGTGTGCGTCGGTGGCACAGCGGTAGGATGCTCGCCAACCACGCCTCATATTTGTGAAAGTCGAGTGAGTTTATTGATAAGTCTTCGTACGCCTCATGTTGTTCGGCTTTTGATCCGCAGCCAACGACGCACTCACACACCTCGGTAAGCCAGTAACAAGACTGGTGAAGAGGGGAGATTAGGTATGAGGCTAGCAACCTCATTCCTTGAAAATGCATACCACTGCCACTGAAACTTCAAGCGTCTAGCCTGAAGCCCTTTGTTTCACTGGGAACGTAAAGCAATAAAAAATCGGCTTATGTATAATTTTCATGTGATTTACATAATACTGCCAGAGCAATATTTAAAATATGTATAAATGCATAAATTTCCATATATTGCACTTATGACTATACTTATTTCTTATCTATCATCATCAAATCACACATGTGTATTATGACAGCTTCCAAGGTAATAATTAATATAAAAACAGAATTTGTGTATTGTCAAAGGAATATAATCCAATAATAATCGATTATAGATACCCACTAATCAGTGTTTTCAAATTCCATCTTCAGCACTGAAGAGCTGTCTAGAAGGACGACGAAAGTGGAGATGTGTTGTTGAATCCCTATGTTCCACTCGTAGCCCAAGGGAACAATAATAAGGATAATTACTTCATTTCACTGCATGCTTACGATGCACAGTGCTACTGACCCTCGCCAATGATGTCCTATCGTTATGTAGTCTATCTGAGTCCAGCGTTGATTTGGTGATTGAGGTCGCCAGGTTACTCGGTGTCTCTCTTTGAGCCTAAAGTTAGTGCTGACCAGGAACAGATGATTATCTGAACAAAGCTGTAGAAGACGATCACCGTTGTAGGGTCGTCGGCAGGGAACTCCATACGTACCACCTACATACTTCCCAGTCTGGCACAACTTCCCAAATTCGGCATTCAAGTCGCCTGCTAAAACAACTATATCTGAAAGTTTTGCTTTTGCAGCAAGTTAGACAGTTTCAAGTAGACGCAGTTCTTCAGTTCACCCGAACTGCAGTCTGTTGGGGCGAACGCGGAGACCATGAAAAGACAACGACGAGTAACGCCGTCCTTCATTCTTCTAACGGACCCGTCCAGATGGACCCCACACATACGACTATCTACTGGGATCCAGTCAAGAAGGGATTTATTCCGCCCTAACACTCATTGCTATCCCTACAACTGTGAGTCCTCACGAACTAGCTGAGGGGTCTCCTGACACCCTTAAAGTGAATTTTGCAGATTCACCTTGTTGGCCAGATGGGGTTGGGTTAAGTGTATCACCACACTCGGGTCTTGTATGCGTGTCTCCGAAACACAACATACATCCATGGCTCGAGGTGTCATATTTCTTGCTAGTCATGCCTGTTGTCCGATTTGGCAGAGGGGGGCCTGACGTTGAATGCTCCTACGTGAATTTGGCGACGTGTCTTTAAGAGGCTATCGGGGTCTTTCTATGGCCATCGTAGTTGTTTGTGGTCACAGTGTGAAGTGAAGATGACTCACTACTCTGAAGAATAGTACTGGCTGCCGGTGGGGAGTAAGACGAAGACGGTGATGTGGGTAAAGAGGAAGGATGCTCAGGAGGGTTTCGTGTGCTTCTGGGAGTGTCTGGACAGTTGTTACTTCCCGTCCGCACACACCGTGGAAGTTGGTTGAGTCTTCGGGTACCTAAAGCTAAAAGAGGGTTAGTGTTGCGTGATCGCAGAGCCCAGGGGACAATTGTTTGAGGTCTGTGACACATGGCCTGTCTGAACTGGTTTCTTGGGTTGGTTCCGTATTAGTAAACTTACCACCGGTTACGGACCACCGTAGGGTAAGTCCGGATGTACAATTGTTGGGGTTGACCTTCTCCAACCTCCACCCTCCAGAATGAAGAGGCAGCATAGTTGGCTGGGATGCTGGTCATCTGAGGGAAACACCTTACTGCTCTTACATCCCTGTTCGCCAGCAGTACGACTTCGCCCACAGACACCCAGCATAGTGTAAAACAAAATTCTCATACTATTCCGGTAACTTCTTTTAGTCTAATCGCTGTCCCAACAACCTTCCTGGCATGTTAGGACCTGCAGAAACAACAGTTCCAGCCAGTGTAGTTTGTTGGGTCACTGCGATGTGCAAGCGCGACCACCACATCAAGGTAGTAGCTATCGGTCGGGGCGTTATCCACTAATCACATGAGCCATGTAGACCACTTGGGCCACAAGCTCGGAAAAGCGTGAAAGTTGGGTATGAGACTAGCAACCCCACCTCGTAATAATAAAAAAGCGCCACCACTGAAACTCTGTGTTCCACCGGGAACTCAAAGGATTACCAAGGTAGATTAGGTGTGACACTGCGGGGAGGCTTTAATTTACACATGGCTGTTGTCTCATAGTATTTTAACATGTGCTCTTGACTGTTTTTTATGAACAATCTTAAAAGACACTGTTTAAGTTCATTTTCATTTCCAGTTAATTGATAATACTGGGAAGAAATGTTCGACCTCTGTTGAAATATTGGCCTCTAGTACGAAGACTTCAACGACGCATAAAGATAAACATCAATGTTATTTTGCCTGATGACGACTAGCAGAAGGATACAGGATACTTATTTCACCATCTATTCTAAAATCACTGGAGAAATTGTTGGCTTTCATCAATACAACTAATTTTTTTTTGCCTAATTCTGGTTTCGAATTTCACATAAGAGTTGACCAAATAGCATAGTTGTCTACAATCGGCACTGATCATGACTCTTATTATTAGGCAACTTAATAATAAATTTGACTTGTCCGACTGAATGAATCCCCATTACATATTTTTCTCTTCGGAGTACTGATCGTGGCCTCGACAAAAAATTTGATTTCAAAATATTAAATATTCCCATAGTAAAATTTAGAACAACACATTTAAGCGGACAATATTGTGCTTTCAAATAGATCTCATCAGGCTTAACTCTAATGTATATAAGTTTACAAATAAAAATTCAAATATAAAACAAAATAAAAGAAAATTCACCGAAGAAAATGTTCTCTGAATCGATGAAATCACTTCCAGAGGTTGTACAGCCGCATTTATATTTACCAAAAATGTATGGTAGTCCATTCTTGAGTAACTGATATAATTACTCAGAAGTAGCCTCAAAAGTAAAACAATTGTTGTAATTTGCGTAACACCCAACGGCACAAAGGAAGAAAGGGTTAGAAATCTGATATGGATGAAAATTTTATTGACTGTAATCAAAGCCTTCTGAGTGCCAAATTAACAAGTGTGAAGAGAGTAAGAAAATGTAAAAAAGGAACACATGCGAGTGATAATAGTAAATAAATTAAAAAGCAAAAGCAAACTAAAAAGTGAAATTGAAAATTTTGAAAAAAATTTTCAACTTTGTTTACAAGGAATACCCAGTGAAGAGGTAAAGACCATTGTAGAACAAAAGACTGGATAAACTTCTTCTGTATACAGAGTTCTGGGTTGTATTGACGATCTGCCAACGCTTCGGTCATACACAAAAGCTGAAACCTATCGCCCTTCGTACCATTTGGTCTCACTTTGTAGATAATCTTGAGAGACGACTGTGGTGGAGATGTGTAGGCTGGATTTACCAAGTGCTAAAGAATTGATCTAGTAACTGTCTTGCATTGTCGCTTTCGCTAACCATGCTGGATAATGTTCAGAGATGAGTTCGGAAAGTGTACGCTTCGTGCGGCCAATATGACTGCCTCCACACCAGCAGATGAATTTATTAACACACACTGAAGTGGCGCAAGTGTGTTTTTTCGGTGCATATAAATATGAACCTACAACCTCTGAAGATAATTTCGTCCTGATGAAGAAAATTTTCTTAGCTGAATTGTCTTTTATTTCCCTAAATATCATTGTAATTTATTCCCAATGGGCTAAGTTTTGATTTCCGCCTTTATTCCAGTTTATCCATGTTTTTCATCTCCCTCAGAGATTGGTGGTGGATCTCTCCTAATACGGATGAGAACGAAGCATGACAGTTTTACAGTTTTTCTTCATTTGCAGGATAAATAAAGAACATCTTATCTGATTGATATTTTGATGGTTATTTCAGTTTGTCTTCACGATTTTCTCTCCACCATTTCACCTTTCCATTTTATAGACAAATTTATTTCACTGTGTCTTTTGTGTACTCATAGAGAATTATTTTAAGTGGTGAGCAACTCGTAGAATTGCATAGTGAACATTTTGAACCAGTTTATTAATACAGGTGATGTAGGAGTGTGCCAACCATTGTGTATGCGATCTGATATATGGTAAATACCTAATTGTTAATACTATTTATTCGGATAAAGAATTGTTTATAAGACACAAAATAATCGAGCAAAGAATATTCTTTTCGATAAATTCCTCTCCCAGGCTCTACAATTATATATATGTTTATATACACAGGATATTTTA